ATCAATATATATTTATGAGGAGTTGAGAGCTTTCGTTTTCTGAATGTTTTCATGTTGGTGAGGTGGCGGAACGGATTAGGTAAGTCTTCGTCCCCATCTTCTTCCATGATATGATAGAAAGATGAAGCACAGTGCTCCCTTTCGCATCCATCTCTCATTCCCTGCTTTTCCTTTTCCAACTCATTCCACCAATCTTGCATAATATAATTGCTACCTCCTATTTATTATTTATGTCTCAGGCGCATATATCATAGGTAGAAAAAGGCCTATAATCCTAGCTAGCCTTCCACATGGAGCTCTGCCTGTTACAGTGAGCTCGGATAACCACATGCAGGTTACATATATGACATTAGAAATAGGAGCCAAAGTGCTGCTGTATATCATGCCACTTGCATGATAATTTGTCTGCCCATCTTTGGGTAATCATCATCATCATCATCATAACAGATTTATACAAAATCGAAACTTTATTTCTTCTTTCCTTTCTGCCATGACTCTTAACTTGGACAACATGCTTTATTTCAGACTCCTAAAGTATATATCCAGACAATTCTGAAATGCAATATATTATTCTATTTCTGCGTTCAGAATGAGTGAAAAAAATAATAAATTATTTTTAATATCATATTTTCCATCCACAAATGACCAAATGAGGCCTTAATTAGGGAAGTTCCAAGTTATACGCGCACTAAAGATGTTTACGGGGCAGCAGAATTGCAGCACTAACAAAAAAGACAAGAGGCAGGTCTGGAGTTAGGGGCTCAGATTATTTTATTTGTTCTTTAATTCCCCTGAAGTGATTAACCACAAGCTTTTTCCTGATCAGAAATGTAATAAATTAAAGATCGCATATTTAATACTTTGCATTTCAAGAATCATGCTGGTTCTCTAAATGTAAAGCATGCATAGAATATATTGCTTTATTATCAACATGCAGGTCTTGATTAGAAGTCTAACATAAAGGAGCAGGCTAATAATTTGTCAAAAACTCCAAACAGCACATATGGCACTTACTGGCTACTAATTTTGAACGCAGTAACTGGTACATGTATTGTAAAGCATGCATAGAATATATTGCTTTATTATCAACATGCAGTTAATTAACTCATTAATGAAGATTCTTTCAACCAAATGCTAATCTGGAGCTAATTATTAGACTCAAAAGTACTGTCTTTATTAATGATGTATGATTCATCCTTCTATAAATTAGTGATCATTGTTTCTTTAAATTAAAAAATATAAAGAATATAAAACTAATTTTAGCTGATAAAGGCACGTTATTGAAGAGAAACAGGTAAATTATTCAAGCAAACCCCTAATATTATTCCCTGGTTTGGACCAAGAAACCAGATCGTTTCAGCATGCAAATAATTTTGCTTGCTGCAGTAAATCTTCACATAGTTTTTGACAAAATTTTCAGTCTTAGAAGAATTTCTTGGACACGACTACTCAAACACTTGCATAAAAAAGTTGGGAGAATAATGAGAGCTAGAGCATGATATCAATAAAGAAATATTAATGCAAAGGAATCTGTGTCAACATCTCAAGCTTATCTTTCAAACACCAAAACTATATGCAAAGAAATATTTTTCTTAGAATCACCAAATGACATTAGTTCTCCAAATATCAATGAAATATGTGAGTCAACACTTGATACAGTTGATCGATATTCTGGATTCCCAAATAAACATGTCTCAATAAAAGAACCCTGAAATATTTCTGCTAAACAATCAATATGTTATTGAATGGCAATTGAATACTTGAGGATTAAAGGCAAATAGTAATTAAAAAAAAAATCATACCAATGTTGATATATACTTGACTTCAACAATATAGCTCTGAAAGCATTTTTAGGCTCACATGTTGAAAGAATACAAAAGAAGACATAATTATATTAGGAAGGATTTTCTTTCGAGATTTGTTTTTAAAATGTCTTCTGTCACATTGTATCCCGTTTATGGCTAATGACTGTAAAAAGAAAGATTCTTCCTCTTTTAAAATCATCTTTCGAGTCAGCATGCTACTAATGAGAAAACGACTATTTTATATGTCCTCTACCTCAGCTTCGCACTCTTAGATTTACTATGAACCACTCAGCTTGCATAATCGAGCATGAGAAAACTCCCAATTCAGTTAAAATATCAGCTGAAGTTTTCAGATAATTCACATAAAAAATCTCATGTTCTCACAAATATATCTTTCCTTTCATCAAAATCAAAGTTCAAGTTAGGGCCATTCATGGGGTTAATAAGAGGTGGAGAAGAGCTTCAAGAAATCTCAAGAGAAATATAAGAACTGGTATGATAAGAACCTTGCCAACCAAGGGTGAATGTTTGTCAAAAGCGACGAATTTAAACCAATCTTAGCTGACAATAAGTCGAGTGTACTAGCAAGCATATTGTTATGTTTCACAAAAAAAATGGCATAATTATTGGGCAACATATTGGCTACAGTCATGATCATAATTTAGTGGTGTCATTTAGTGACATATCACTCAATCAGATGGCTCTGGTCGTAATAGTTATATTGTGAAGCTGGCTGGCCAAATCATGCGAAGAATGATACGATCTAAGTAAAGTTCTCACAAAAATTAGGGCAAACTCAATTGTTCATTTCGCCAGCATCAATCAAAGCAATACAATACAATATCACACAACTTACATTAAAAACATAAAAAATAAACAACTACAATTCAAGAAGTATATAATCTCTCCCAAATCTTATAATTTAAGAGGTGGTAAATCTCTTCCAAATTCTGATCCTATGACCCAAGACAACAATCTCATGCTTCACCCTAACCCTACACATATTAGCCATATTTTTACTAAACAATAATAAATATTAAAAATACTAAACTGAACTTAGAATAATAAAAGATTAAATTACCCTTAAGCACTGGGGTAACAATACTCCTCTTCCAAAAAAACATCTTGTCCTCAAGATGGATAAAAGAAAACTACTGTTGGATTTGGCTCCCTTTTCTGATGTAATGAACCTTTGTAATAAGCCTCCTTGTCACACACGGTGAGAACATGTATTGTTTGATCCTTGCAACTATGTCTTGGGAAACTCATAAGTTGAATAGTAATAATATGAGTGCAATTCATCTTGCTAATAATACTATTTTTAATGTTAGGATAAAACACATTTAGCTGAGGTATCACCTTATATGCTCTCTCTTAGAAGATTGACAGTTATTCTTGGAAAAGATACACACAACTCAGAATTTTGTAAACATGTTGATGAAGGCCATAACTGTTGAGAAATTGGAGCTATGCTTGGCTTCAGTTAAAGTCCATGAAGGTTGAGACCGGGAAATCACACTACGATATTAGTTGGAGGTGAAGATCTGGCAAAGAGGTGTTGAGATGCAATATCAATCACCAAGTGGAAGATTATTTTGTATGGAACATAATTGGCAGTAGTAGTGAGCACTCGGGAGAAATTTCTAGTACGCCGCACCCACGCCAAGCCAACACCCTCAAGCCTACAGATAGAGAGCACAATGGGCTCTTGCCTATATTAAATGTACCTGCGTTGGGGGTATGCAATGCCCCAATGTTGCACTTTAAATGCATATGCTCCTGATTATAGAGAGTGTGACACTCCCACGCCCAGGAGTGGTGTGGGCATGTCAGGTGCAGTTATCTTATATGATTCAATTTAAAGTTTTTAATTGGTTCAAGCGACAAAGGTTAGGACTCTCGCATGCAGTGTTTTGACAAGTTTCTTTCGAAGCAGAAAGAATCTAGGATGAGGATTTAAGCAAGCAAATTCTCTTGTGAGATTGAGATAAAGAGTTGGAGCGAAGTTATGTAAGTTCCATTAATGTTAGAGAGGAGATCTGAGTGAGTATTTATGTATATTTTTTGGCTCTTCATAGTAGAAATTTCTTAATGGTGTGACACTGTGATTGTTTTTCATTCTCAGGTTTTTCCACGTGAATCATGGTGTGTTTTTTTTCTGAAATTATTTTATTGTGCTTCCGTTCAAATATTTACTTTTGGTTTTATCGAATTTGGTATGATTCTAGGTTTTGATTTCTAATTGATCGAAGCCCGAGAAGTATATAAGTTCCATCCCAACGAGCACGACGACAGTTCCTTGGCATCGGGTGGGTGACAGTGGTTCGGTGGTGATGACAGTGACCCGATGGCAGTGGAGCTCGAGATTTCTCAAGAACTTGGAGCTCCCTTCATCCTCTCCATGAAGAGATTAGGGGTTTCTTTATAGATTTTGGGAGTGACATTTTCTGTAAAGAGAGCATGAATCTTGACCGCTACATTGGATGAACCAGAATGATTCCCTTGATCAAAAGTAGTTTTATGATTGTTCAGATGTCTTAATGATGTTCAAATTAAGCAATCTTAGGCTTATTTGATTTGTCCTGCCAAGATTCTCGATCTAACTATTAATTTGCCAGATTTGAAAATTACTACGTCTCTAAAATATATTATAAAGCTTCTCTTTACATTTTAAGTGCATGATTTGGGTTCACTTTGTGTTAAATCAGATCGTTTCTTGTGTCTTTTTTTTTTTTTTTTTTTTTTTAAAATTTTTTTTTTTTTTTTTTTTTTTTTTTTAAAGATCTTTTATGTCATTTGGTTTGTCTTTCTGAGACACTTCATGTGATTATAAATTGGAGAGTAGGCATCTCAAACTTCGATTTTTTAAACATTCAGTTCAAATGTGTGTTAAGATTCAAGCTGATCAATAAAATTTTTTAGGACGTAACAATGGTCATTATTAACTTTAAGAAGTAAAAAACAACTTTCCACATATAAATGTACAAATCAAAATCGAGGCATTAGATATATAAATACATAGAAATTGTGTGGTATGCGTGTAAATCTTGCAAAGGAGAAATACCATTAATGACAATACAAAAGTCGCAACAGCTCCCTCTTCTGTCAACAATTAATCATTTTGTAAATTCCCATGTGCCGAGAACTTGGGCTTGGAGAGCCTACTTGATGTAGCGTAGTCCAGCCCTATTGAAAGAGAAAGATAAAGGTTTACATTTCTACGGATTAGTTAGACAAAGTACAAGAAGGAAGAGTGCAGAAGCAACTCCAGAAAAAAGTTAACACAAGTGGATTCACGAGTGGAAAGAGGACACGAGTGATTTGGAATAGTGGCGCCGCGGAAGAAAGAAGGCGAAGTTGGACTTCCAAACTCTTTTCTTCTCTCAACTTCTCCACAATTCACAAATTCTCAAGACTTTTGAGGATTAATTAGCACAGCAGCAATCTCTCCCCTATGCCCTGCATGCCTACTTGCTGCTTCTCTTATATAATAACTTTTTTAAATTCAATTCCTCTCCAAACTTCTCTCCCTCTGTACTTAATTTCTATATATAGAAGAGCTTTGAGAGAGCTTGTCCATAAGCCTTATATGGAGATTGAAAAGCAGCAGAGTACTGCGGAGGAGTTGAGGAGAGGGCCGTGGACTGTGGAAGAAGACCTTATCCTCACCAACTACATCTCCAAACACGGTGAAGGGCGCTGGAACTATCTCGCCAAGTGCGCAGGTAGGATCAAATATGTGCATGATTCAGGCAGTAGTAATTCATATTCAGCTTCAGCATCAGTGTATATTCTTATTTTTCAGAAAATTAACCAGTTAAGTTGTTGGTAGACTTTTGAACCAACAGCACTGCACTTTGATCCCAAACTCTCTGCAATAGTGTTGTTGGCTTGGCTTATTTATTCAATTAATGAGTTGAAGTTAGAAAATATACTTTTAACTCGTAAAAATTTTTGAACTTTTAATATTGTTTGTATACAAGCAAACAATTAAATAAGCAGCAAAAATGCTACTCTTTTATCCTATATATCTATCATCCTAATACATGAATACTGCAGGACTAAAGAGGACGGGGAAGAGCTGCCGTCTACGGTGGCTAAACTATCTCCGGCCAGATGTACGCCGCGGCAACATAACCGCAGAGGAGCAGCTCCTCATTCTTGAACTCCATTCACGTTGGGGAAACCGGTAATCTCCTATATGCCCATTTTCAACTGTTATTTTTTAATTATTTACAAACATTGATGTTTTGTTGCTTAACAAAGCCAAACTAATGGACGATATGTAATTATTAACATTCATGAACAGGTGGTCAAAGATCGCACAACATCTTCCTGGCAGGACAGACAACGAAATAAAGAATTATTGGAGGACAAGATTGCAAAAACACGCAAATGTCCTTGAAGGAATGAGGGCACTGATGGGCAGACCTCCCTGGCATGGAGTTTCAGAAGGACAGAGCTCCTTGGCAACTTCCAACAGCGGTGGTGATCTTTCTAATTCATCCTCTACTTCCAACTGTTATTATAACTACTTGGATGAAAGAGGAGAGGGCTGCTGGCCAAGCAAACCGGAGGGGTGGTTAGACTTTTCCCCGCTGCCCGACTTCGACAGTAACATGTTGGCTGGATTTTGTCAACATAATGCACTATATTAAAGTCTCTAATATGTATACATAATGTATCAACTATCATTTGAGTCTATTTTTCACTACTTTTAGTTATAGATATGACCCTTTGCAACAAGATTATGTTTTTCTCTGTGGGTTTGATTTATGAAATATATTCAAACATAAAGGAGCTGGAGCGATCGACAAGGATGATTTGTGCTTGGCTTTGCTTAAAAAAATTTAAGCGCATTAGTTAGACGGGAGAAAATATTATGTCTGTTGTCCGAACAGTGACTCTGTAGTTGAATCCATGTAATACATTTGGTTCCACATTCGGGCGTCAAAGATGCAGCTAAAATTTGTTTGATGAATATGTTTCAGTCAATTTATAATTTTCTTAAAAAATAATATGAAAATATTTTCATATGTAACATCAAATTCATCAATTTTATATGTTAGCACTTTAATAGGAAAAGGAAGTTTTACCAAATTCAATGTTTTGCATGAAGTTACGTTCCCCAGTTGAAGAAGCAACCTCCACCGAAAAATGGGGCCTAGCAGCTGCAGCAAAATAGTCGAACACATGGCCCATCTGGAGTGCTGTTCAGCACGCCATATTCTGGAATGTCCTGTGCTTGAAGAACCTTGATGTATTATTACTAATTTTAACCTTTCTGATTAAGTTTTTGGGATGAATTATTTTGAAGTCCTATAATTATTTCAGAGATACTTGACTCAAATATGCTGTAAATTTGCAAACAAAGAAAATCAAAATTCGAAACAAAATCAATAAATTCTCCCAAATTTTGATTTTTTGGGAGAAGGTAAACCCAAAGGTCAATATGGATGATTCAAACCCGCTGCCTCATAATAAAAAACTACACTCTCAACTATTACGTCACATAGAAAACTACACTCAGTATTATGTCACGGATAAATGTGCTCCACTTGCTAAAAAATGCTGATTATTGAATATTGAGAATATGAAAGTAGAAGAAGAAACTACATTGCTCGTCTTCAGGAAATTGATGTACAAGAGAACAAAACTTCAGCATTTTAACAGTTTTTTTATTATTTTATTCAAACTAAGCTTCATTTAACTGAAAATTATATAAATACTATATTAGGTCAAATGACTTTTATAAAATATATAGTAATTATTAACTGCAGATATTAAAATACATGCATACATGCAAATAAATAATGTATCAAATCAAATTTGAGTTTAATTGAGCACATCTTCAACCACAAATGCATCGAATTCAAATTCTAGTAAAATAAACTTCAAAAGATTATTGACAGCTTCTGAGTTATGAGCATAATTATCAGCTTTACTCCAATCAGCATGCTTTAATGATAAGAGGGTACAATATATAGAAGAACAATTATCATGTGATCCATATAAACTAATCTAATTACAATCAATATTAATATAAAAAATGCACTTCAAATTAACAGCAAAAAGAAATGTAAAGCAATGCCACTAAATCCTGCCTTTATAAAATTTGCTATACCCCTAAGCTTGCAGCAACTTAAAAATTAGGAAAATTTACATACATACCACACGATTCTTATATATTTACATATCTAACACCCATAATTTGATATTTACACTTATAACATTATAACACCTTCATGTCATATTATAACACCTTCATGTCATAAACGTATGAATGAAAAGGTGTATTTATATTTAGAAAGGTATTGATGGTGATACTTTTTGACGTGGTGTTAAAGTTTTAAGTGGCAAGCATGTATATATGAATGTTTAGGCGTTACATACATAAATAAGTAAGAATTGTGTGGTATGTATGTAAATGCCCCCAAAATTATCATTATAACTGCTTGGGATCCTTAACAACCATATAGCCCAACAAATCCTCCCAACAAATCCTATGAGCATATCTTTACACATCAAATCATCTGTAACAAATCAAATCATTGATTAAGATAAATGAAATGGATAACATTATGATTGAAATTACAACATCTGACACAAAAAATGTAGCCAAATTTCTGATACAGGATAAGTAAAAAAATATTACATAAACATTCATTACTGTTGTAAACTAGACTCTTAATATGGAAATACTCAAAACAATGATTTATCTCATCCAAAAATAGCATAAAAAATACTAACTTCTGAATTCCACGAGCAAAAAAGGATGACTAAAAAGCTCATAGTTTTGGAACCACAAAGGTCTCCAAGAAAACTATCATCAGTTTATGTTTGCCACATACATACCTCCTTGAATGTGATATCACCTGCAACAAAAAAACGAGATGAAAGAGCGGCACAAAGCTTAAAACCATGGAAAATAAAGAGAAGTAGAAGGACGAGTGCACCTTCAGTGCTGAGCTGCAGGGCTCCAGTGGGAACTGCCTGAGGCCAGAGTTTTGGATGTGTGGATAGAGAGGGTTTGGACTCCGTGCCATTCTACACTGGGTGGTGGATATAAATGAGGGTGAGCATATCTTCATACTATTTGTTAAACTGGCTCCATCCATGCTCGAATGCACACTGGTTAGAAGCCAAGAGAAGAATCTCAGAAGGCCAGGTTCGAACTCTCGCATTGCCCGACAAAATTCTTTTTGGCTCCATCTAGGTTTAATCAAATCACGTCATAAATAAAAAAAACCAGAGTAAAAACGAAATTTACTAAACTTTGGGCAGGATTTACTATAAATCTTGCTTAACCCAATCAAAACCTGCAACCAAACAGCCGCTAAGACATCACACATGATATTTACCTCTTTAACATCACCATATACCTCTCTTCCTCGCCCATTTCAGCACAAATAAACTTCTTGCTGAAGTTTGATATGGACGGAACTTTGCATTGAAAGGGCCGTGAAACAGAAAAATTACGATTACAATAAATAACAAAATAGCCAATGAATCTACCAATGATAAAAAGGAAAAGGTTTAGGCTGTTTCAATGCCCCCAATGAAAAAGATTAGTTGAAAATAATAACTATACGTGAACTTTCAAATTTTTTGTGATGGTGAATCCAGCTGAAATGTGCAGGATACATCATAACCAAAACAGCCCAAATTTCTTTAGAAAAATAACTCCGTAACAGAGGATTTAAAGCTTAAAAGAAAAGTTTTTATGGTGCTTTCCTCAACACTGATGCTTAAGAAGAAGATTTCACAGGCTAGTGATCAACAGTAAAAGTCCCAAATGAATTTCATAGAGATTTTGAAGTAATATCAGCATGTGAGCTCCTCCATTTGAAAACATAAAACAAACACAAAAATACACTGCTAATGCAATTAGCAGCATGTAGGGCAGAATGAATTTTACAACTAAAAGAACCCATCAATCCATTCATAAAATGATGTGCTGAAATTATTTTGCTCGTATAGATGCATTTCATATCATCCACGGTTCGTATATGTCACCATAATTGGAGGAAAAAAAGAATGTGGCCAATAAAATAGAAAAGTGTTGTGAAAACCGACGATAATAAAGCGAAAAACAGGAACGAGAAAATTCACAAACAGAAAAACACAAAGGAAACACAGATTTACGTGGTTCGACAAATTAACTGGATGTTGGATTCAATGGCTTCCTTCCATACATCTTCCCACCGAGAGTTAATGTGAAATTATGTTGCAGGTGACTTTGGGAAGGTATATATGGCTAATGAAAAAGCTTTGGACGTGGTGGGGATTGGAGACGTTGATATTGCACTCCCTAACAAGAGCTAATGAACTTTACAAAAGATCAGACATATTTCTAAGTTGAAGAAAAACCTCATTTCATGTTGGGCAGCTCGATGAAGGTGGTCATTCAATAGTGTTCTTAGATAACACCTGGAAGGTTACCAAAGGAGCATTAGTACTGGCTCGTGGTAAGAAAACTGACACGCTATATATGACTACAGGTTTACTCAACACTGTTGATATTACAGTTACAAAGAGCACTACATATATGTAACATTGCAGGATTGGACACATGAGTTAGAAGGGCGTGAAAGAACTTCAGTCTAAAGTCAAGCTACCAGAACTGAAGTCAGTTGACCTCAGCATGTGTGAGAGTTGCATTATGGGGAAGCAGAAGAATGTCAGTTTCTTGAAAAGTAGCAGAGCGACAAAAACAGAAAAACTAGATCTTGTACACACAAATGTGTGGGGATCTTCTCCAGTGACATCTCTTAGAGGCTCTTATTACTTTGTCACATTCATTGATGACCACAGTAGAAATGTAAGGTTTGATAATCTACTAGAGGTCACAGTGCAAGACATGGATGAAAGTGATAAGGAGAGTGGGTCTTGGACACCTATTCCTATTGTTTCGCAGTTAGCTGCAGAGCCGTCCACCCCTAAAGCTAAAGTTCGCAGGTCAATTAGGAATAAATGTTCTCTTCAGCGTTACTCACCGACCTTGAATTACATTTTGTTGACAAATGGGATAGAACCACAAAGCTACGAGAAAACATTGCAGGATGAAATTTTGAACAAGTGGGAGCTAACCATGAAGGAGGAGAATAATTCCCTACTGGGAAATCAGGCATGAGAGCTGGCATAACTTCCACTAGGGAAGAAGAAATTGCACAACAAGTGGGTTTACCGAATAAAAATTGAGTTTTTGGGCCAGTAAGAGATACAAGGTTGAACATGTTGATAAAGACTTTCAGCATAGGCAAGATATTTCCCATGCAGTGGGAGTTGTAAGCAAATACATGAGTAACGCAGGAAAGAGCTTGGAGGTATAAGACTATGTTGACTAACGTTGTTACTCTTGAGAAACTGAAGTTGTGCGCAGCTTCAGTTGATTTTTTAGCTTGAAGACAGAGGATTTGAGTTGCAAAGATAGAGAATAACACGTTTGAAGAAAAAATCGATACACCCAGCAGGTGTTGCAGTCAGTGGACAAGTCTCTAAGTGGGAGAATTGTTGAGTTGTGAAAATCAGTCTACTTCTGGAAGTTTTTGTTATCTTTGGCAGTACTTGTTTACATGGCAGTTTCTCCTTTGTGACTTTTAATTAATCGTTGATTAATTAAATTATCTTGCAAATCTCTCTTATTTATGGAAATTAATTAATATTATTTCCTTAAAGTTTTTATTCTCTATTATAGCTTTGTCAAATTAATCTCCCGCTTCTTTAGCTATGGTAGGTCTCGCCACCATTAAATGCCTGTAGAAGAAGAATTAAGGCTTTTTTGAAGAAATTTGGTTTCCTTAATTTCTTGATGGGCTTTTCTATTATTTAAAGCTACAGGAGTGAAGAATCAATTCAGCTCAGTTGGGTGGCTGGCGGGAGAAGCAGAAGGAAATAAAAAGTTCTCCGTTAATTTCCTTGTGATTCTTCCGCTCGGTGTTGTTAGCTTATGGCA